AACAACTGAGGACAGCCTGGAGAAAGAAGTCTCTCACATGGGGGATGGGAAGAAACTGAGTTCAGGACTTGGACTTAAAACCCAGTACCATGCCTGCTATGGTGCACCCCAGTGCCAGACATGGCCCAAGGACCCATGCCTCCAAGCCAGTTCTCACTGACCAAGCCTCTAGAACTACATTAGGCAGGTGGCCAAGGGGCTGTTTCTAGTACCCATCCCCCAAAGCAAGGCATCAGAGATGGGAGCAGGATTTTACCCACTGGGGAGCAAGGCACAAAACTAACATGGAATTTTGCCTTGGAGTTCAGTGCCAGGTCCACCACGGTGAGACCCAGCACTGGGTAAAAACCAAAGGTCCCTATAAACAGGTCAGAACCCACAGGCTCTAGGTCCAGCCCTGCATCAAACAGAGACATGGGTCCCAGTGGGATGGATTCATATTTACACCCTCCAACACCCTCCCCTGACCTGAATCAGCAGAGCAGGAATCAAGACTCCACTCTCTGGGCAGAGAAAGCTAACAAAGGACTTTGTCTTACCAGGTCAGTAATCATACACAGAGGCTCTAGATCTGCTCCAGCAGTGGGTGGAAACCCACACCCTGATGGGACAGACTTAAGGTTAAACCTGCATCACGACAAGCTGCAGTGTGGGCCTGAATACACCCTTAAGAATGTGCATTTTCTTGCTGCTATAAGACTCAGATGCAACCTAACTTATTGTCAGCCTCGGCAGTCAAAGGACTGACTTCATGAACACTACCCGGACCTTGGGCTCATAATATAGAATGCCCTGTTGTGAACACACCAACAGAAGGTAGGACAGAGTAGTAAGCACAAAACTTTGTCCTGAAACTCAGAGCCAGGCTGGCGCAACCCAACACTGGGCAGATGCTAATAGCCCCCATCACCAAGCCAGTATCCAAGAATGGAGACTGGAACAGTTCCAGTAGCAGGAAGAGATACACAGCCACCATCTATCCAATCTCCAGGCCAGCCACAGTCATCTGTAGCCAGTGCAATGGTGTTGGCTATGAGTACACCTCAGCAGTATGCAGCTCATAGGGTGGGCTTTGGTCCAATCCCAGGACTGCAGTGGTCTTAGTGGGCTTTGGGCTCAGGGTGTGATACAGCACTGTGGCACTGGTGGCCACAGGACTGCTCACCCCATTCCTTGCATGAGCACAGACAGCACAGAGAGAATAACTGCCTAGGGGAGGAATCTGGATGGGAACACTAAGTCATGCCATAGGAACCCTGGAGTTAATCCCTCCATAGTGATTCTGCCACAGCCAGGCAAAATCCACAGCACCTGATCACAGGCCAGTCACTGCTAGATGAGATCTCTGGCCCGACTGCAGCCTCGAGGAGAGATTTGTAGGGACCAATTACTACTTCTTTTTATGTACTCCCACAGTTCATACTGAACACACCAATTGTGCATTTGGAACAAAATTGGGTTTGAATCACCCTCTAGTGTTGAAACAGGAACAACAGCAGACTCCTGACCAATCTGGATGTATGGTACCACCTAGTGCTGAAATAGCACAAGGCACTACAGTTCCAGAAACAAATAAGCAGCTAGCTTGGAATTTCTGGAAAGACAGGCACAATGGCAGATTATAAAAATCAGAATAAATAAACTTTCAATGTACAGATGACATCATACCAGCATGTATCAAGAACTTTGAGAACCAAGACCTCAACTAAGTCAAAATAAGGCACTAGACACTGAGAATATGGGTGAACTCTTGACTTAAAAAAAGCTCAATAGCAATTTAAAGACTCAATGAGCTCCCAAAAAACTCAAAGAATTATTCTATAGCAGAGAAACTTAACAGAGATTTTAAAAAATCAAGTAGAAATTTAAAAACTGTAAGTCATTAATAGAGGAATAAATCAAACAGAAGAAAGAATTAGTGAACTTGAAGAAAGGCTATTTGAAAACACACAGCTAGAAGAGAAAATAGAAAAAGCAATGAAGAGGAATGAAGAAAGCTTACAGGAATTTTGTAATAGCATTGAAAGAGCAATTATTCAGGTTATTGGGGCCCAAGAGTGACTTGATGCTGCCAAAAGGAAAGCAACCTATTCAAAGTGATAACAGAAAAGCTCTCAAACCTAGAAAAGACACAAACAGCTAGGGACAGGAAGGTCAAAGGTCACCAATCAGATTCAACTCAACCAAATTTATTCCAAGACCCATTATAATCAATGTCTCAAAAGTGAATAAAAATGAGACAATTCTGAAGTCAGCAAGAGAAAAGAAACACATCAAAGTGTCTGATCCACCTGGCAGCAGACTTCTCCAAAGCTTTATAGGACAGCAGAGAAGGCATGAAACTTTTATAGTTCTGAACAGAAAAACTGCCAACCAAGAATAGTACACTCACCAAGGGTATCCTTTAAAATGAAAGAGACATTCTCAGATTTAAAAAAACAAAAATCTGAGAGACATTTCTCCACCAGATGTGTCCTGTTAGAAATACTAAAGGAATCCATAGCCATACAACCCTGACCATGCTCAATCTCTCCTGATCTTAGAAGCTAAGCAGGGTTGGGCTTCGTTAGTATTGGGATGGAAGAAATACTAAAAGAACTTCTTCAAACTGAAAGAAAGAGACATTAATGAGTAAAAGGAAAATTTCAGAAAGTATGGAATGCATTGGCAAGCGTAACTACACAGACAAATGAAAATGTTCTAATATTGTAAACATGGATATATAAACCACCCATATCTTTACTACTAAGATTAAACAGCAAAATAATTGAAAGTAATAATAGCTCCATTAAGATGGTAAAAGTGGGTAATATAGAAAGATGTAAAATGGGACATCAAAAACTCAAAATGTGGATCAGAATGGAGTCTATGTAGTTTTTTACTAATACATTTCTTTTTTTTCATCTTTTCTTATGTTTATTATCATGATAGATTCCTATCATTTTTTAAAAGTTTGTTATAATCAAAACATGGTTTTTGTGAGACTGATGATCACCATAAAGAAAGAATCTATAATAGACAAACCCCAAATAATAACCAAAGAACACATAAGACTAAATTACTTAACCACAAAGAAGACTATAAGAGACAGCATCCTATGCATTATGGAAATAGCACACTGAGCCCCATTAATGTGGAAAATTCACGTGCTAATAAAAAAGATCTTGGAGGGGTGGAAAGTGTGGGGGGTGGCCCAAACAATGTATACGCGTGTATGTAAATGTAAAAACAATAAAATAAAAGAAAGAAAAATAAATTTCAAAAATCTTTTGTACATCATGATGACTACAGTTAATAACAATGTGTTATACATTCACAAATTGTTAAAGAGTAGGTTTTAAGTCTTCTCACAGAAAAAAACATGTAATGCAATGCATATGATAAACAGCTTGATTTACTCATTCTACATTGTATACAAATATCAAAATGTCATGTTACACACTACAAATACAGCACAGCGTTTCCACTTGTCATTTTTTGGGGGGAGGAGGTTCTCACTATGTAGTCCAGGCTGACCATGTGATCCTCCTGCCTCACTCCCCTAAGTGCTGGGATTATAAACATGTGCCACCATGCCTAGTGTGCAATTTAAATAAATAATAAAAAAGAGATGAAAGAAGGAAGAAAGGGAAGGAGGGAAGAAAGGCTGGAGGGAAGGAAAAAACGAGGGAGAATAAAACTATACATCAAGTTATAAGACCCTACTTATCAATAATAACTGAAAATATAAATAGATTAAATTCTCTGATTAAAAGACATAGATGTTTGAGTGGATTTTCAAAAGTTAAAATCCAACTATATGTGACATAAAGAAATTTACTTTATACTATTTGTATTGTTCATAAATGGAAAATACATATCCACATGACTAAACCTGAAGTCATGCACTTGTGGAAACTGAATCTAAAGTGAACTTACAACATGATTCTAAAATTCAAATAGAAATGTTTGGAACAACCAAGACAGCTTTTGAAATGAATAAAGTTAGAGACCTAAACTGCCTGATTTTAAGATAGTCTAAGTGCACAGTAATGAAAGCAGTGTGGTGTCATAAAGACAGATCAATGAAATGGAACAGACCCACTCAATGTTGACAACTCATTTTTGACAAAAAGGCAAAGACAGTAAGGAAAGAATCATCTTTTCAACAAATGGCACTGGAATGATTAAACATCCATATGCCAAAAAAGAAAAAAATTGAAGCATATTAGTTTTAACAAATAAAAAAATTAACCAAATGTGAATCATGGACCTAAATATAAAACCTAAAAGAATAACACTTCTGAGCAAAATACAGAAGAACAGGTTTTGTCATCTATTTAGGCCAAAGCTAGAAAGCTTCTAGAAGGAATCCAAGTAGATCATCTTTCAGATTTTAAGGGTAGACGATAATTTCTTTAACACTACAGAAAGTACTAAGCATAACAGTGAATTATACATCATTCAAATAAAATTTTTGTTCAGCAAAAGCCAGGTAAGAAACTGTTTAACTGAATTATATTACAAGAAATTTCAGAACAAATACTTGCAATGCATGTAACTTAGAAAGGAATATAAATCACTCTTACAATTCAGTGATTTAAAATAATACTACAAGTACAAAAAAATTTGTATACACTACTCACAAAAGAAAATATATGAATGGCTATTAAGAAGAAATGTTCTATGTTTTTACTCAAGAAATGCAAATCAAGACTATAGTGAGATTGTTCAATGTATCTACTAGGAAGGCTACAATTTAAAATAACAAAAAATGTCACTTTAATTTTACTCCTTTGTTGTGGGAAATCTATCTGATAATACTCCCATATCAAACATAAGATAGCTTAAACCTATCATTGCTCAAGTCCCAAACATCACAGTCAGCAAATGTAAAATATATGAACGTTTAGATTACATTTAGGCAACTCAGTGTCACCTAAATGTTTCATGTGCTTTTATTTCTGTTTGAAATGAAGATTAGGAATAATAGTTACCTAAAGATTAAACAAAATGTTTACCTGTCTGAAGCTATGTCACTGGCAATTTGATGCTTCATTCCTGACCCATTTTTAATAGAATCCTGTCTCATGAGATGAGCCCATGGGGATCCTTGGAACTGGGCCTGCTCATGTAGCTTTGCTTTCTTCTCTTGAGGTGCCTCCTCATTTCGCAGTCCTCGGAGAGCCTTCTGATCAGGTTGCTGTGGTGTATTAGAACCAGTATTATAAAACCATGCTCCTGATTTAGTGAGGATTTCTTGTTGTTTTCGGCACAAATTGCATACCCACATAACCTGCACAAGAAGACATAGGGAAAAGGAATTAGTTCCCCCTAAATGTTAAAAACAAACAAAAAGAGTCAATTCAATCCAACAAAAAATAATATGATTGTCCTTCTGAAATCAATATGCAATTAACTACTACTATAAATTCTTTATCCTTTCTTTAAATTTTGTCAGAATAATTATAATGAAATAAACAGACAGTAGAAATAATGCCAAACAAGAGAATCAAATTACTAGTTGTTTATTTGTACTCTAATTCTATTTATTTAATTACATCTGTAATGTAGTACACAGAAAATGAATCCTGAAGCTATATTTAATTTAAACCTGAATAAACTAAATGAAATTAATAAATGAATTTGAGGGGAATTTAAATACTAACTCTGTGATTAGGAATTTAGCAATCTTCAGCGAGGTAATGAGGTTTCATATCTACAGAACTTAGTTCCCTTAACATAAAAGAGGAGAAGACTAAAATAATACTTATTTTCCCATAATGTTTTGAAGAATGACATAAATTTTATAAAATACTTTATGTTGAAATACCTACCATATAGTAGACTTTCAGTAAGTTAGCTGTTAACATTGGGGTAATTTTCTATTACCAACTAAATTATAAGCTTCTTGAGGAGGCTTTTATTTCTTTGAAGTAGTTCCTGATGACTAAAATAATGATAAGAACATTGCTGATCTCAACAAAAACCTATTAATTGCTCATAATTTGTAGTAATACACTTCATTTTTAATGTGGTTTTAAAAAGACAGCATAAGACTTACCGTCTTAACCATTTGTAAATGCACACTTCAGTATTATTAAGTATATTTACATTGTTGCAAAACAGATATCCAAACGCTTTCTTGTAAAACTCAAATTCTATAGCCATTAAACAGCAGTGCCCTTTCCTCTTCTTCTCAGGTCTGCTAACAATCATTATGTACGCAATTTGTTTAATAGATAGTGTTTTTCAGACTCAAAAAATCTAATTACTATCTACATGACCAGAAAACTCTCCATTCTACTCTAAAACTCTTTTTCAATTCATCAAAAACAAGTAAAATTATATTATCATGAAATAAAAGGTGAGCTCCTACTTCAAATGAGTGTTAATGTTTTATTTATGTTATAGCTCTCTGTGTTACTAAACATTTTTCACATTTAAATGAATTAGAGCAATATAGGTAATCATACTAAAAGAAACCCATTCTGCCTGGTAACTAACAATGAAACTGAAAGGAGTTTGTGATACAGACAACTGTCCATCATTCAACATGGTGTGTTCAGCTGAAACATGGATGCTTTTGTAAAATACCATATAAACTTCTTGCTTAATGCTCCTTTGTGCCAATGTATATTGTTTGTATAGTTTATAATACAACATTGCACTTGTTCATTTTTCATCAGTTTGTTCTTTCATTGAATTGTTTAACATGTCTTTCTTTTTTTCCCCAAGAAAATCTGAAGCTCACTGGAAACAAGGAAGATATCTTCTATTACACAGTAAGATCATATAAATCACAGAATACTATGATCTTCTAAATACTTGCTAACTTGAAATCATTTGCAGTTCTTCCAGGGAAAAACATATTTGATATTATAATATCAAGATTCATGTTTCATCAATTCTCAAAAGAATTAGCCATCAGTAATGTAAATCTATGTGCCTATTTTATTATTTTATTTTTTATAAATAAATAAAAATGTATGTTAAGATAAAAAAAAATCTCACTCAAGTTTTTTTTAATGCTGTCATGGCTCAAATTTCTTTTGCTATGGTTGATCTGAACAGATATAAATCATCTAATGCCTCAATAATCTCAAAAAATCAAGTATCATCCAAATGATGACCCTTTTAATATCATCTTATGATTAATGTAGATACTGCAGATTTCACTTAAGGTGTAAGGCACACTAAACACAGAACCACAAAATAATTTGAAAATAAATAAATGAAGTTTGAATTACAACTTCCTGTTTTCATGTTACAGTGATAATCTGCACTAAACGGTTCTAGGGTATGAACACTGGAATAAGCCACATTTAGAGTATTGAAGAACACCGGCCTTTTCTGCCAGATAGCAATGAAACAGAAATAGTCTGCAGAAACAACCTGTTGCTCTTTCATTATTTGTTGCAAAGCAAACAGATTACTCCTTTTAGAGCAGAGATTTTCAAAGGATATCTTTAAGATCTGGGAAAAGCAGGTCAATACCACCTAAGAAGTCACTAGAAGTACAAATTCCCAGGTCCCACCCCAAACTTATTGAACCAAAATCTCTGGGGCAGGACCTAGCAATCCCCCACCCCAAATCCTCCAGAGGTCCTGAAGTTTGAGTTTGAGAACCCCTGCTTTATGGCAGAGATTCTCAGCTGCCATGTTGACTGTGTTGTTACTGTGCTGCATAGCGGCCAAATAAGGCCAAAAGAGCCGACAAGCATTCTTGTCAGTTTACCTCACTGTGAACTCTTGATCGTACAAATGGTATCACTTCTGTGAAGCCCAAAATGAGAAAAGTCTGGGAGGCAAGTCTTTGTTTTCCTTATCTTTTAGCACCCAGTAGATGTTAATATAAGATAAGTTTTGAAGGATGGTGTCTGAATCTTATTAAAGACTCTGCACCGATTTCCTCCTAGGCCTCTCTGGGCTGTCTACACTCATGGCTCTCTCTAACTACATCACTTGGTTCCTCCTGAACTGCTAGCCCCTACGATCTTCAAGCTATCTCATTTTATTCTGTTATGGTTCTTTTGGTTTTGATTTTTGTTCGTAGGGTTTTTTTAATTGTTTTTGTCTTTTTGAGACAGGATTTGCTATGTAACCCAGGCTGGTCTCAAACACATGATTCAAGGCCTCCTGAGGGCTGGAATTACAGACATCAATACAATGCCAGACTCAAGCTATCTTTCTTTTCTTTTATCATCTACTTCTACTCGAACTGATAGTTTATTAAAGTTCAAGAATCTTAAATTCACTCACATCAAGCAGTGCAAAAGAACTGACACTTGCACTAGCAGGCCTTACAGCAACTTACTGATACTGAATTATCACAAACGCATACGTAGGCAAGATGGCTGTGAGATGACTTTTCACTGATTAGCTGTGAAGTGAATAATGTCACCTAGAGGAAAGGGCCATGCCCGTGGAACAAAATTTAACTAACTTTTATTTGGAAATAAAATCACAGGACTTTTGCTAATGGAGCCCCAACCAAGTTAACTATCAACTGTATTTCATGATAAATGCTGTTTAAAATATCTGAGCAGTACATATGCCTATTAATCTCTACTAATAGGTTAAAAATCTAATTAGCTTTACTGGTCCTCATAGTTAGCAAAAACTTTTAAGCCTTGAGAATTCATATATATGATTCAGAAGTATAAGATAGTACTTTTCAGGCCTACATATGCCAATTTTTCCCCAATAGTATAGCAACATTAAGAGGCAAGTTTTCTAATGACTCAAATTTATTACTTATTACTACGTGCTTCGTTCCACAAACATCCTTAGAGGGCTTAAAGAGAAACAAAACTTAAAATATCTTTTTAAAACCATAAAAATAGAGAGCATGAGCTGAGTATGGTTCTTCATACCTGTAATCTCAGCTACTTGGAAAGCGGAGGCAGGAGGATTGCATGTTCAAGGCCAGCCTGGACAACACAGTGAGACTGCATCTCAAAAAAAAATAAAAAAGATAAGATAACCGTGACAGTTACACTGAATAGTCAAAGGGAGCATAAAAAGAAAAAAGTTTGGTTGGATACTTACAAATTTTAAAGGTCTACAAAATTCTGTGATCTTTTTTTTCATCTCAATAGCAATAAAAAAAAGAAGGAAGGATTGTAGATTAAAGACTGTTGATAAGACCTCAGGTCAAGCTCAACTCTGCACAGGAAAAGTATTTACTAAACTCCACTTCTAACCATTGCCAGCCCACTTATAAAAGAGCATTTGTCAAAAAAAGAAGTAAGGTTCAAACTATATTACAAAGCAATAACAATAAAAACAGCATGGTACTGGCACAAAAACAGACATGAAGACCAGTGGAACAGAATAGAGGACCCAGATATGAAGCCACACAACTATAACCAACTTATCTTTGACAAAGGAGCTAAAAATATACGATGGAGAAATAGCAGCCTCTTCAACAAAAACTGCTGGGAAAACTGGTTAGCAGTCTGCAAAAAACTGAAACTAGATCCATGTATATCACCCTATACCAAGATTAACTCAAAATGGATCAAGGATCTTAATATCAGACCACAAACTCTTAAGTTGATACAGGAAAGAGTAGGAAATACTCTGGAGTTAGTAGGTATAGGTAAGAACTTTCTCAACGAAACCCCAGCAGCACAGCAACTAAGAGATAGCATAGATAAATGGGACCTCATAAAACTAAAAAGCTTCTGTTCATCAAAAGAAATGGTCTCTAAACTGAAGAGAACACCCACAGAGTGGGAGAAAATATTTGCCAACTATACATCAGACAAAGGACTGATAACCAGAATATACAGGGAACTTAAAAAACTAAATTCTCCTAAAACTAATGAACCAATAAAGAAATGGGCAAGTGAACTAAACAGAACTTTCTCAAAAGAAGAAATTCAAATGGCCAGAAAACACATGAAAAAATGCTCACCATCTCTAGCAATAAAGGAAATGCAAATTAAAACCACGCTAAGATTCCACCTCACCCCTGTTAGAATAGCCATCATCAGCAACACCACCAACAACAGGTGTTGGCGAGGATGCGGGGAAAAAGGAACCCTCTTACACTGTTGGTGGGAATGTAGACTAGTACAACCACTCTGGAAAAAAATTGGAGGCTACTTAAAAAGCTGGACATCGATCTACCATTTGATCCAGCAATACCACTCTTGGGGATATACCCAAAAGACTGTTACTCCAGAGGCACCTGCACACCATGTTTATTGTGGCACTATTCACAATAGCCAAGTTATGGAAACAGCCAAGATGCCCCACACTGATGAATGGATTAAGAAAATGTGGTAT